TCAGCCTTCCGAGTAGCCGGAATGACTTTTTTTTTTAAGAGACAGGTTTGCTGTCATCCAGGCTGGAGTGCAGTGGTGCAATCATAGCCTTGAACTCTTGGGTCTCAAGCAGTCTTCCTGCCTCAGCCTTCTGAGTAGCTGGGACTACAGGTGTGCGCCACCATGCCTGGCTAATGTTTTAAAATTTTTGTAATGATGAACTTAACTATGTTGCCCAGGGAGGTCTCAAACTTCTGGCTTCAAGTCATCCTTCCACCTTGGCCTCTCAAAGTGCTGGGATTATAGGAATGAATCACCATGCTGTGCAAACTTCACTAGATTTTGATAAAGCATTCTTAAGTTTCCCAAGCTGTGAAAGCACAGCAATTTGTTATTTCTGTAGCTATTTGCCAGTATTAGAAGCTTACAGTGGGCCCACTGCAGTCGTGGAAATCTGTAAGCTGTTGTGAGTATAGCCTTCCTCTGCCACTCAGGAAAGCATGTGGGAGAGAGCTGCATCCCACTCTGGTTTTCAAACTTTCCTCTTCAGCAGATGGTGCTGGGACAACTGGATAGCCACAGTGAAAGAGTGAAGTTAGACCCCATCTTATATGATAAATTAAGGATGAGTCCGTGACCTAAATATGAGCTGAAACCATAAAGCCCTTAGAAGAAAACATAGGAATAAATCTTCATGATCTTGGATTTGGCAATGGATTCTTGAGATAAAATGACCCCAGAAACATGAGCAGTAAAAGAAAAAGTAGATAGAGCGGATTTCATCTAAATTAAAAACTTTTGTGCATCAAAGGAGATTATCAAGTAAGTAAAAACACAGCCTACAGAATGGGAAAAAGTATTTGCAAATTTTGTATCTGGTAAGGGTCTAGTATCCAGAATATAAAAAGGACTCTTATAACTCAACTAAGGAAGGCAAACCACCCAGTTAAAAAATGGGCAAAGGATTGAATAGACATTTCTCCAGAGAAGACATACAAATGGTCATCAAGCACACAAGAAGATGTCCAACATTATTGGGCATTAGAGAGATGCAGGCCCAAACCACAAGGAGGTGCCACTCCGCACCTGCTAGGATGGCAGCAGCAGCAACGACTACAATAATGAAAGTGACAAGTGTTGAGGATGTGGAGACGTCAGAACTTCCTACTCTCTGGGGGAAATGTAAGATTATTCGGCTGTCATGGGAAGCAGTTTGATGGTTCCTCAAAAAGGTAAACATAGAATTTCCATATGATCCAGCAAATCCACTCCCAGGTGTGGACCCCCAAATTGAAAACGGGTATACTACTCTGTGTGCACATAGGCTCATAGCAGCCCTGTTCATAGTAGCCAAAAAGTGGAAACAGCCCGTGTCAGTGGACAAATGGGCAAACAGATAGTTGTATAGATGCACAATAGAATGACATTCAGCCATCAAAAGGAATGATATACTCGATAATGTGGGTGAACTTGGACACACTGTGCTAAGTGAAATAGGCAGATGTGCCCCAGATTGTGTGACTGCATTCATATGAAATATTCAAAATGGGTAAATCCAGAAAGACAGAACATATTAGTTGCCAGGTGGGCAGGAGAATGGAATAGGGAATCACTGTCCAGTGGGTATGAGGTTTCCTTTTGGGGTAATGGGAATGTTTTGGAACTAGATTGAGGTGGGGACATTGTGGATGTACTTAAATACCACAGAGTTGTTAGCTTTAAAGTGGTTAATTTTATGTTATGTGGATTTCATCTCAAAAATAGTGTACCAAAAAAAAAAAGACTTTCACACCTTGGTGCTTCAGTGACCAGTGGTAATTGGTGGTTGGTGGAGGCCAGTCTTCCAAGACACTGTTGCTGCGACTACCCATCTAGACCACTCGTCAGTGTCCTCTTTGCTGAGGGCAGGACCCCTCACCAGCGGTCCACAGTCAGATGCTGTCTGGGCCTGCCTTGTTGGGGTAAATGTGTGAGGTCAGCAGGGTGTAAACCAGCCAGAAGGGTGGGGACTAGGGGCACTCTCTGAAGGCCGTCCAGTACTCCCGGACTGTTGGACTCACTCATACCCAGTCTCCTTTTATACCGTTGACAGGCTGATGTCATGAAGCTTATCCTCCTCTCCACTGCCCTGGGCTACAGCTTCTGGGAGTTTAGGGGACAGGACTGAGCCCCACTGAGTGTGTAAGAGGACGGCCTCACTGTGAACCCCCTGTTTATGGGCTACTCAGAGAACTGGTCAGCTGCTGATAGCCGCCTCTGTAGAGGGAGTGGTGGCTTTCCTCAGTGTCACTTGCCCAGGAGTTTGAATACAAGCTTGTGTCTTGTCTCTGCCAGAGGATGGAGCAGAGTACAGAAGAGTCTGGAAAGATCTTTGTTAACAGATGAGATGGAGAAAGGTGTTGTGTTTGTTCAGATCTGCCCAGATACTCTGAGGCCTGTGCCACTCAGGACACTGGAAGCTTGGGGTGGGGAAGGGGTAGTCGGGGAGGGCATAGAGGAAGGAGCCTCATCCATCAGGTTAAGGGAGGGGCTGCCAGTAATCCTTCTTGACTTCTGGTTTTCTGACTGCACAGAGGACATAGAGAGTTTGGCCCCACGTGCTTTCAGTGTGTTTCAAGTCCACAGACATTTGGGGACCAGGCAAAGGGGAATGCAACCATGTGGCTTGAGGGGATGCCCAAGACCCCTGCCCTGAAATGTCCCCTCTCCCAAAGGCAAGATCCTCCTGGGACCCAAGCGCCACCATTCTGTAGATACTAGAGAGTCTGAACCTCAGAGTGGTTGAAGGCGAAAAGCTCCAGGAAAGGCAAAGGTGAAGCTTCTGCAGAGGCCCTGGGGGTGCACAGAGAGGCAGGGGAAGGGCAGCCCCAGGGGAACTGGCCCACAGGGCTGAGAACTGGCATTTGTCTTGTTTCCCTGCAGAGCTGAGTTGGTGTTTGTCCCCAGTGTCCTGCCTTCAATAGACTCCTTTGCCCACACTCCCCATTGGGACTTGAATGCAGGGACTTGGAGGACATCTGCCTTCCTCCTCTGAGATCCTGGGTTCAGGCCCCTGTGTCCAGATGACCCCATGTCCTACCCACAGAGGCTCTGCCTTCAGGACCTCGGAGTTGCCACCCTGTGGAATGGGAGGCTGGGTCTTCAGCATGAGTCCATTGTGTTGTCACTCTTCTGTGGTACTGGCTTCCATGAGGCACGATCACTGGGCTGTCCTGTTGGGGGTGGGGGTGGCCACCTGGGTGGCTCCCTGGCAGCACCGAAACAGCCCTGGGCGTGGCGCTTCATGCAGACTCAGGACCTCAATGCACTGGCACCTCCTTCTGGGGCACATGCAGGGACATTTTCGTAGGTGTGACACATGTGGCCCCCGGCCCCACTCTGTCCCCCCGGGCTCCTGGAGTAAGTGGACATCTCATGGCCCTACAGATGAGCTTTCTGAGTGCTCAGGGGGGCAACCCCGCAACCTGGCCAGGTTGGGGCTCCGCATGCTGAGATTCAGGGAATCCCTGTGCCTGCAGGAACGTGGCCACCCGGGAGGGGCCGTCGCTGGGATGCATGGCAGATGGGATACCCAGAGGGTTTGGCCATGCCTCACAACTCTTCTCTCTCTCTTAAGTGGGACAGGCCCTGTGCCGTGTGGGCTGGGAGAGAGGCTCTGACTCCACTGCGTGGGCCTCAGTCCTGGCTGTTGGGCAGCCCTGGGCATTTGCTTTATGGCGCCACCTGGGTTCCTCGTCTATAAGATGGAGCTGGCAAGAGAGCCTGACTTGAAGGTGGCCATGAGGATTAGAGATGATGACTGTAAGATAGGTGGCCTGGCGAGAATGTGTTCAAGAAATGGTGACTCTGACCTTCTGTCTGTGACGGAGACTCTGGAGATGGCAGGAGGGTCTGTCCTTGGTGGTTCCCTGTGACTGATGCAGACTCTGGTTTCTTCTGTGTTCCTCCCCTTACCCAGTCTTGATCCTCCAGAAGGTGGAGAATGGAGACCTGAGCAACAAGATTCTGAAGATCACCGACTTCGGCCTGGCACGGGAGTGGCATCGCACCACCAAGATGAGTGCAGCAGGGACATACGCCTGGATGGCACCTGAGGTCATCCGGGCCTCTATGTTCTCCAAAGGCAGCGACGTGTGGAGGTGAGGCCAAAGGGCAGGACGGTGTCCCCAGGACTGTACAGGTGGCATACACGCTGTAGGACTTGGGGAAATGAGGCTAACTAGAAGCCCAGGCACCCCCAGTTGGGCTGAGTAACCCTCAGAACCATATGTGCTGATTCCCATGTTGCCAGGGGACAGTTTTAATGCTCACATCTACCAGAAGTTTCCTTGAGTGCTGTGTGCAGGGCCCTGCGTGTTGGGGATTGCTCTGTAGGGAGGGTCTACACCTTCCAGGGTCAATGTGTCCACCCATTCCTGCCACGTAGGTTGGTAGGGCACTCTGTCCCTCCTAGGGCATTTCCCAGGTCAGCCTGGCTTCCTCCACGGCCTTGCTTGGCATCAGTGGCATGACTGGTGGACTTAGGAAGGCAATAACCCAGTGTCCTCATCGTAGGCTCCTGAACTGATGAGTCTTCTTCGTGCTGTTCCTTTTTCCTTGGCGGACTAGAGATTATCCTTCCCAGTTATCCAGTTAATCATTCAACCGAGGCTGTGTCTATTAGACATTGACCTAGACATGGGAAAGGGTGGTCTTGCGCATGTGCCCAGAGCTGCAGTGGTACAGAATAAAAATGATCGGCCATCCTGATGGTGAATGTCAGCCCAAAAGGTCACAAGGAAAGGGTCTGAAAAATTGTGCCCTCACTGATGGAGGATGAGCACATCCTCATGGCTGTGGGACAATGGCATCACCTTGGTGTATAGAATAAAGGACTGCAGTTATTACCGTATGTTGATCTGTGAAGTCGTGGCCTCCTAATGTGTTGTAAAGTGTGCTTCTGTGGGTGTATATGTGTGTGTGTAAACCAAGGATGCCAGAAAAATGTATACACATTTTAAGAAAGGAAAAAAACTGCATTAAACTGTAATATTCAATATATACCAAAACAAAGGATGAATATAAGTCACATTTGGCTTTTGCAGTGGCAAGATGTGCCCCAAGTGGTTGCCATCAGCATTTGGACACTTCTGATTATGGTAAACTACTGCTTGAGCAACGTTGACGAAGGTGTCTGTCCACTTGTATTGCTGCTCATGTTGTTTCAATTTCTTCCTGAAGAATGGTTTCCTACAGTACACCACATCCTGTAAGGTATCCCATAGGTAGATGTCAGGAGGTGTTAAGTCAAATACCACTTCAGAATGGTCTTGTGCTCCTCTAACAACCACTGTGCTTTCACCATTTTCTTTGTCCCACGTGTCGCATGGTGGTGCTAGCATTCATTTGATTAACGTCATCTTTTGAGTGAATGCCATGCTACACATTGCTAGCATAATTCAATTAAACTTTGAAAAGTAGTACATAGATAACATCTCTTAAAATGTGTATACATTTTTGGCACCCCTGGTATATTTAAACAATAGTATATTTAAACAATAGCTTTATAGAGCTATTATTCATGTATTCCTTTTTTTTTTTTTTTTTTTGAGTTGGAGTCTCACTCTGTCACCCAGACTGGAGTGCAGTGGCACACTCCCAGCCACCGCAGCCTTGACCTACTGGGCTCCAGCAATCCTTCCGCCTCAGGCTTCCAAGTAGCTGGAGCTAAAGGCGTGCGCTACCATGCACAGCTAATTTTTTTATTTATTGTAGAGATGAGGTCTCACCAAGCTGCCGAGGGGGGTTTTGAACCCATGGCTTCAGGCAATCCACTCACCTCAGCCTCCCAAAGCGCGGGATTATAGGCTGAGCCACCGAGCCCGGCTTATTCATGTATTCTTAAGTTTACCTGTTATACACTTGACAGTGTGTAAGTTAGTGGATTTTAGTGTATTTATGCAGTTGTGCATGGATTACCATTTTTTGTTGGTTTCCCAGGGCAGCTGTAGCAAATTACTACAAACCTAGTGGCCTAAAGCAGTACAATGTGTGCTTTTATAGTTCTGGAGTCCAGAGGCTGAAACTGGTGTCATCAGAGCCATGCCCTCCTGAGACTCTAGGGGAGATAAGGATCCAAATAAGGATTCTGGGCGTTAGGATGTGGACATACCTTTTCAGGGCCACTGTTCAGCCCACTACAACAACTTTCTATTTCCAGAACACTTTATCATCCAAAAAAAGAAGCCCTATACCTGTTGGCAGTCATTGCCCAAGCCTTCCTCCTCTTGCTTCCTGGAAAATACGCATTTACCTTCTGTGTCTATGGGCTTGCCTGTTCTGGACATCTTATGTAAAATGGAGTCATACAGTGTGTTGTCTTTTGTGACTGGCTTCTTTCACTTGGCATAATGTTGTCAAGGTTCTTCCATGCTGTAGCTTACATCAGAACTTCATTTTTTTATGACTTAATAATATTCCATTGTATGGATAGACCACATTGTTTATCCATTCATCGGTTGATGGACATTTGAGTTTTTACTTTTTGGCTGTTATGAATAATGCTCCTGTGGACATTTGTGTACTGTATTAGCTTTTCTGTAAAAATATATTTTCATTTCTCTTGGGCCCATACCTAGGAGTGGAATTGCTAAGTCTCATAGTAATTTCATGTTTAACTTTTTGAGGAACCATCAGACTTTTTCATTGTGGCTACACCATTTTATATTCCCATTAGCAATGCGTGAGGGTTCCAGTTTTACCATATCCTTTCAGCATTTGTCTGCTTTTTTAATTAAACAAATTTTTTCCATTATAGTTATCCCAACAGGTGTGAAGTGGTACCTCATTGTGGTTTTGATTTGCATTTCCCTAAATGACTAATAATATTGAGTATCTTTTTATGTACTTATTGGCTGTTTGTATATCTTCTCTGGAGAAATGTCTATTTGAATCCTTTGCCAATTTCAAAATTGGGGTGCTTGTCTTTTTATTGTTGAGCTGAAAGTGTTCTTTATATATATATTCTTGTCAGATATGTGATTTGCAAATAGTTTTTCCATACCATGGATTTTTTTTAACTTTTTTTTTTCTAGTTAAAAGGAAAACCCAGGATTTTTAGAATTCTTCTTGGTTATGTTCTTTGAAACACAAATGTTTTTAATTATGATGAAGTCTAGTTAATCTATTTCTTCTTTTGCAGATTGTGCTTTGGGTGCCTAATCCAAGGTCATGAGGATTTACACCTGTATTTTATTCTAAGATTCTTATAATCTTAGCTCTTACATTTAGGTCTCTGATCCACCTTTACTTGATTTTTCCATGTGGTGTGAGATAGGGGTCCAACTTTATTCTTTTTCATGTGACTATTCAGTTATCCCAGCATCATTTATTGAAAAGAGTTTTTTTTCCCCCCCATTGAATTTGTCTTATCAGTTTATTTCAATTCTCAGTTCTATTCTGTTAACCCATATGTCTGTCCTTATGCCAGTTCCACCATTTCTTGATTAGCGTGGCTTTGCAGTAAGTTTTGAAATTAGGAAGTGCGAGTCTTTTTTTTTTTTAAGATTGTTTTGACCATTTTGAGTCCCTTCCATTTCCTTATGAATCGTAAGATAATTTAGTTAATTTATATGAAATAGACAGCTGGGATTTTGATAGGAATTGTGCCAAATCTGTAGATTACTTTGTGGACTACTGACATCTTGATAATAATAATGTTTTCTAATCCATGAACATTGGGTATCTTCTCATTTATTTAGATCTTCTTTAATTTTATTCAATAATCTTTTGTTGCTTCTGTATATTAAATCTTATTTTACCACACATTAATCACAGGGTGAAGTAGCTGATGAGAAGAAATGAGTTTTTCTTTTCTTAAAATATTTGATCTCATCAGGTTGAGCTGCATGCTGATACTCAGCTGTGTTTGAGATATAAAAATAGCAGTGTCATATGTTTCAACTTAATACTTGCATTGCTTGACCACATGTGAAATTAATTAACATTAATTAAGCTAAGCTGCTATTACAAAGAGACCTACAGATATGTAGGCTTAAATAAGATAGAAGCACATTTTCCTTTCAAGGAGTAGTGCAGACAGTCCAGGTTGGCAGAGCAGCTGTGCCCATGAGATCATTCGTTCCTTTGGGGTTCCTCACTGCATTGTCCTTGTCTGAAGGGTTAAATTTGAGTGACTGTTACTTCTGTATTAGAGTCTTCAAAAAAGGGGAAGGACAGCTTATCCCTGACAGTTTGTCTTTGACTTGGAGACAATTCAGAAACTGTGCCCATCTCTTCTGCACAAACCCCATTCCTGTGCTTGGTTACCTGCACCATCTCCTCTGCACAAACCCCATACCTGACTCCAAGGGAGGCAGAAACATGTAGGTTCCAGCTGGACAATTGTGTGCCCAAATAAGACTCTTCCTGTAGAAGAGGGGCAGTGGGTTTGGGGGGACATTCAGCCACCAGCCACACTCAACTTTCTCCCTGGGAATCCATGACTTCTTGCTAACATGATTGTTTTCTCCTTGCATTCCTGCTAGGCTTCTTCTCCCAACCTGACCTTGAAGTCTCTCAGGTTTTATGTTTGCACGCTCCAAAGGTGTCTGCTGGTGATGATTTGGAGTGTCGCGTCAGGCACATTCTTAGTGGGAAGGGAAAGTGCGAATGCCTGCTGTAGAGTCTTCTTGTTGTCACAAATGGCAGATTAGGAAGGACAAGACCATTGCAGAGGTTTGTCCTCCATGGAAGGAACAAGGGCAGGCCCTTTCAACTTTTGCCCAAAGTCTCCTTGTTGCAAGACTAACCTCCAAGTCTTGCCATACAGATCCTAAAAACAGACTTGAAGAGAGAAACCTGATGAAATGATTCTACTCTCTAAAGGGAGCAGCTTGGAACCAAACAAATAGCACTTTGGGTGCAGTAGTTTGCATGTTGTCACTTGGTCGACTAGTGGGTCTCCAGTTTCCCTGGTTTAGAGTTGTTCCCAGTATGCATATCTCCTGACCTGGTGTGGCTGATGAATGTGGTTTGAAAGTGCAGTTCATTCTGTTCCTTCTGACTTTCTTAGCTTTCGTGCTGCAGGATTTCCTTTAAGACACAATTTATAACCCATTAAATAGGCCCTGATCTCTCCCTTCTCAAGCCCATCCATCTCAGTGGCTCCAGGTGATCTCTCACCTTTACCAGAGGGAATGTGTACCCCCGGCTGTGCAGGCAGCAGGATGTGTACGCTGGTGGTAGTGACTATCATCCACCCATGCTTGAGGGCTGGCCTCTGTGCTGAATGTTGCATGTCTTTTACCTCCTCGATTCCTCTCAAGGATCCTCAGAGGCAGGCATTGCCATTTCCATTTTCCAGATGAGGTAATTGAGCCTCAGACATGTCTGAAGGCCACCTAGGTGGTAGGTGTAAAGCTGTGATTGGAGCCAGGTGCATGTGTTGTGAGTCTGTACGGGTAGCCATGCCACCGTCTGCACATTATTGCTTCTGCACTTTGGGTAGCCACTTCTGGGATGATTGGCCCACCATGCCCAGGGTCCAGCAGGATGTCCAGAGAACACCACAGCCTGCTTAGGCAGTTGGTACAAAGCCAGTTCCCAGGTTGACTCACGGTTTGTTTGCTCATTGCAGAAGTGTCTGCAGAATGCTTGCCCTGTGCCAGGCACTGGCTGAGCCTGAGCATCTCTCTTGCCCCGGAACTCATCGGCCAGGGCTTCTGCACCTCTGTGATTGCCAGGGCTCTGGGCAATGAATCTGCTGAGTGTGGGTCTGAGGCTCCCCCACGTGCTGTGATGGAGGGGAGATGATGATGGCTTGGGCCTCAGCTCTGTGAGGCTGCCACATAAAGAGTGACACGAATCCCTTCCCTTTGGGTGGCACTGCAGGGAAAGTGGTGGTGACAGCTGGAGAGTTTCGTCCTCAGGACTAACTGCCAGTTGTATGTGGGATGGGAGGAGGCATCTTCTTAATCATTTTAAGTTTTTAAGATTATAGTAGTAAATCATGTTTTTTATAGAAAAATATTAGAAAATATGGATAGAAGAAAATGGTTATAGTGATAACCTGGATGAGTGTTTTGGTGTGTTGACTCCTAGTCATGTGTCTGTCTGCCTCTCCTTTAAAATGGGACCATTCTGTTTTGTCAGCTGCTTGTGGAATGTAACACAGCATGAACATATTTCCATGTTAATACATATGTCAGTAAACATATGAACATGCATATTATGTATATGACAATAAGTATATGAATGCATATATTACATATATGTCAACGAGTGTGTCATCATTCCAAAAAAGGGTCCAGTCAGCAGCAACCAGAAGGATAACTATATGTTACTTTCAGTTTACCAAGTGTTTTTGCATATGTTAGTTCAGTTATCTTTGCCAAAGATTATTAATTCATGTGGCTCCTGGAATGTGGGGTCACAGGTAACTGCCAAGTGCAGGGGAATTCCCCAGCCTATCCATTTGAAGGAGACCCATCCCCTTCTTCAGAGCTGACAGCCTCAGGATGACTCAGGTTAATAAGAAATAGAGCTCTGGCCAGCACCAGTGCAGAGTTTCTGTGCCCCTCAATCAGACACCCCTCTTCCATTTCTTACCCTCAGAAGTGTTTGAAGGAATTACTGGGCCTCTGGAGGAGGTTAATTATTGACCCCTTTTCCCAGGGACTGGGTGGTTAGGCAGTGAGGGCTGTGAGGACACTGCCTAGGGGAGAGACTCAGAGGCAGTGACTCAGCTGAACTGGCCTTTCCAGGCTGCCCACACATGGTCTAGAAGGGCCTCTTGACTGTCTTGAACCTGGGGAGGGTGAGTAGACTGAGCCTGATGTCAGTTGTGTTGACTTGTCCCTGGGTTCAGAGTCACCCAACTTTCTCGGACTCTGTTCCTGCCAAAGGAATACCATGTCTTCACTTATGTCACCCCCCTTCTGCTGTAGAAATGAAGAGGGCCATTGACAGAGGAAGCCTGGGCTATTCAGCCCCAGAGAGGCATTTCTGCATCTAGATAAGTTGCATAAGAGGTTTGTCAGGAAGCGTCATGGTGGAACTCTTGATGGTGTTGGAGGTTTTCTGGAGCGGCCCCAGGGCAGTCTTCAGGGGTCTGACCCCGCACCATGCCCACGCACCAGTCATTCACATGTTTGAGAGAGCCTCCCACATGCAGAGCTCAGCCTAGGAGTATGAAGGTTAAACGCTGCTCTCTCGAAGGCTGGTAAACCCACAACTGTGTGCCTGGCAGCCCAGATAGGGCTGGGTACCATCGGGGGGGGGGTGTCAAGGAAGGCTTACTGATATATCCCATCAGCCTCCAACTAGTATCCAACTCCTGTCTAGACAAAGCAAGACCTACAACTGTCTGCCAAGCTTTTTTTCTGTCAAGATGTACAAAAAAAATGATAGATAATATTTGAAGACCTCAGTGGGGTAAAGTCATCATCCGGTGAATGAATAGATGGCAGGACCTTTGAGTTGGATCTTGAAAGGTGATTAGAGTTCACCAAGTAGAGAAACAGTAGAAGGGCATTCTAGAGAGAAGGAATTGGGAGCTGATCCAGGTTCTTTATGAGTGTTCCCCGAATGTCCTTAATACATGCTACTCAACCTCTAAAACTCCCTTTTCTCATCTGCAAAATAGTGGTAACACCCACAGTCTTGTTGTGATTCAAGATGGCATTTGTGATGTGCCCTAGCCCTCTGCATGTGCCAGCGTAGTGGTAAGTAGATGCTGGGTTTACTGCTATTTTTAAAGATAAATGACCTCTGTTGCTGGTTACAGACTCTTGCTGAGTATTACAAGAAGCATGAGGCTGGTATTGGAAACCTGAGGACAGCCTTTTCTCTGCCTGTTCACAACCTGCGGCTTCTGGCCCCAACTTACCCTTAGAAGGGTTGAGTGCCATACTTGGCCTGGTTCTGATTGTGGACTCACAGAATTGTTCTTTCACCCAGCTTTGTACTCCATGTTCTCTGACTCGTGGGATCTGAGTAAGAAAGCTCTAGATGTGGACTTGAAAGACTGGGAGGGCTACTGCGGTCCTCAGCTGCCTCCACCCTGCTCTGCCTTGGGTCCACCTTTGTGAAGGTCTTCCCTTTAAGTTAGATGTGAGGCCATGCACGCTGATGCTGGGGCAGGAATCTGTTTCAGCCTAGTGGACATTTAAAGAGACTTTTCATAGGAGCAGAATCGGCTTTGAGAGGTCAGTTCTCTGTTTTTATATTGCTAAAAATGTATCTGTGACAAAAGCTGAGTTTTCTAAAAGCAGAAAAGTATACTTGGGAGGCTGCCTCTTCTCCCATTTTATTTCATTAATTGTGACAGGAACAATTACTGTGGCCATGGGTGCTCACTTAAACCCTGCAGCAGCTCATTTAATGTTATAACAGCTTGGAGAGGTGGTGGTGCCATTCGTACTTGACAAATGAGGAAGTAGAGGCTTGGTGAGGTGGGATAACTCATCCAAGGTCACACAGCTCGGAAACTGGGAGCCTTGGGAGAACTTGACTCTGGAGTGTTTGCTTTTGGCTAGTAGGTTTTATGGGCCCCCCTTTTAAGTTTCAATGTTATTTCTATTTCGTGAGTCTCACTGTGTGTTGGGGAGATTGTGAGGTGCTCAGAAGAACCTTATGAGCTATTTCTGTGAAGTTGTCCCTGAGGTTTATCACATGGTGTATCAGTCTATTCTGTGTTGCTATAAAATAATACCTGAAGCTGGAGATTTTTTTTTTTTTTTTGGTTTTGAGTTGGAGTCTCACTCTGTCACCCAGATTGGAGTGCAGTGGCAGCTCCCGGCCACTGCAGCCTCGACCTTCTGGGCTCCGGTAATCCTTCCGCCTTAGCCTTCCAAGTAGCTGGAACTACAGGCGTGCGCTACCACGCCTGGCCAATTTTTTATTTATTGTAGAGATGAGGTCTCGCCAAGTTTCCCAGGTGGGTCTCGAACCTGCGGGCTCAGGCAATCCACTCACCTCAGCCTCCCAAAGCGCGGGATTGCAGGCTGAGCCACCGAGCCCGGCTGAGGCTGGAGATTTATAAAGAAAAAAGGTTTATTTGGCTCATGGTTCTGTGTAGTGCCAGCCTCTGCTTCTGGTGAGACCTCAGGATACTACAATCATGGTGGGAGGGGAAAAGGAACTGGCCTGTCACTTGGCAAGAGCTGGAGCAAGAGAGGGAGGAGGTTCCGGGATCTTTTAAACAACCAGCTCTCGTGTGAACTAACCGCAAGAACCACTCATGACCAGGGGGAGGGCTCAAGGCACTCAAGAGGGATCTGGCCCGTGACCCAACATCTCCCGCCAGGCCCCGCCTCCAACATGGGGACCACATCTCACTTTGAGAGTTGTAGACAACAAACATCCACACAGTGTCACACACTGTGTCTCCTTCCTCTCTTCAGCTATGGGGTGCTGCTGTGGGAGCTGCTGACAGGCGAGGTGCCCTTCCGGGGTATCGACGGCTTGGCTGTGGCCTATGGAGTGGCCATGAACAAGCTTGCCCTTCCTATTCCTTCCACGTGCCCAGAACCTTTTGCCAAACTCATGGAAGGTAAGTGACCCCAGCTGGAACAGACGTGGAGACCATTTGCCCCCTCGTAAGCACTGGGTAGCTTTTGGCTACTTCTCCAAAATCTGTTGCTGAGGGAGGAGGTGAAGTGTTAGTCACCCACAGAGGAGTCCTGTGGCCACCAGAAGAGCTATTGGTGATGATATCCACACCTGCAGTAGGGCCTAGTGTCCTCAGGGGCCATGGAGTTAACTTCGTAACTGACACCTGCTGGCCAGTGCTTCAGCACATTATTATTTAGTAACAAAATCAGAAGGTATAGCAGCTGTGATGCCAGGGCCTGAGTGCTCACATAGAGAAGTGGAGACAGGAACTCTGAGGTCATCCAGTCAAACCCATGATCTTGTGAGAAACCCAAAGCCGAGGGGGCTGGACGGAGCAGGGGTGGGTCGAGTTAACTTGCTCCAGCTCTCACTCAAGCCCACTCGTTTGTGGGAAGCTGAAGCCCCAGGTGCAGTGACCGCTGTCAAGACTTGAATCGTGTCACATGTGGCACATAGTAGGAGTGATAGTTTACGTGGGAAAGTTTTGCGGGCCTGCTTTTCTTGCACTTATTTCACAGTCAGTATGGGGCACACGCAGAACTGCTGTGTTTGGTTTCCAAATTCGCCCTCATGGCTGTAGCAGTGAGCAGCTTGCTCTCCTTCCTAAGCCCACTTGGGCAGACTTGAATTCTAAGCTCTGCTTCTGGAAGGAGAAACGGGAGGCATTTCCTGGTAAGCAGGGTTGGAAAACGTCCCGAGTGCTGTGTGTGCCTCTGTCCATGCAGACTGCTGGAACCCCGACCCCCACTCCCGGCCATCCTTCTCAAGCATACTGGACCAGCTGACCACTATAGAGGAGTCAGGTTTCTTTGAAATGCCCAAGGACTCCTTCCACTGCCTGCAAGATGACTGGAAACATGAGATTCAGGAGATGTTTGACCAACTCAGGGCCAAAGAAAAGGTAAACAAACAAATAAACAAAAAACCAAAGAAAGAAGAAGAAAAGGCATGCATTACATCAGTGGGCCTTCTCCAGTGGGGCCCTGGGCGGGTCTGACTGACCTCCCTGACTCTGACAGGCCTTCTTCCTGTTTGTAGTCTGCTTAGTTGTCCAGACTTGAGGAAGAGACCACTTGGGTTGTTACCGGGGGTGTCTCATCCTGCTGGCTGGAAATAGGAGAGGTTCTGGAGAAGTTCCTTGGGTCTGCCATGTACTCTAGAGGAACATTAACTAGATGTAGGAATACAGAGTGGTTGTCAAACAGTTACCAGAACATCCTGCCCGTGTCTTTTGACATCAGAATCAGAAACTGAATGTGGGCTAGAAACACCGTGGGTCTGCAAGTGTGTAGTATCTTTCATGTTTTTGTGAAGTTTCCAAGCCCAGACCAAGCAGGGAGCTCAGGGGCTCTTAGCCCTGCTGGAAGTCTGCCTTTTAGTTTCAGTGGCCATTCCCTAAACACCCCCCACCCCCGTGTGTTGCCAGCAGTCAGCATGCATACAGGGAGGCCACTCCCAAGAAGTTGTGTTGCTTAGTTGGGAGACAGGACTGGACCTGAGGGATAGGACTAGGATAAGAGGGGTGTCCCCATCGACTTGGTACACTTCTTTTCTCTTTTTTCACTCTGCACTATGGGAGTCCCTGAGCTCTCTGCTTGGTCTGGACTTGTAAACGTTTCACAAAAACATGAAAAATGTCACACACTGCCTATGTGACCTTTTCTAACACCCAAGGTGTCTGAGTGCTGTGTCTCTGCTTGGGCGACATTCCCCACTGGTCAAGGTGGCCGGGCGCCGTGTCCCTGCCCAGGTGACCTTCCTCACTGGTCAAGGTGGCTGGGTGCTGTGTCCCTGCTCCACGGCATGCTCTGCGAGGGCTTTCCAGTGTGCTCCTAGCCCCCGCTCAGAGCACCCCCTTCCCTACCCTCTGCCCGCCCGCAGGAGCTGCGTACCTGGGAGGAGGAGCTCACACGGGCTGCGCTGCAGCAGAAAACCCAGGAGGAGCTGCTGCGGCGCCGGGAGCAGGAGCTGGCGGAGCGTGAGATCGATATCCTGGAGCGTGAACTCCACATCATCATCCACCAGCTGTGCCAGGAGAAGCCGCGGGTGAAGAAGCGCAAGGGCAAGTTCCGGAAGAGCCGGTTGAAGCTCAAGGATGGCAACCGCATCAGCCTCCCCTCTGGTCAGTGGTGAGCGCTGCGGAGGCGGGGCGTGTGGGTGGTGTCTGGGAAAGGTTGGAAGCCGAGACCCTGGGCACAAGGGGGCACCTGAATGGGAGGGAGATTTGCTCCGTGGGAGGGCTGACTTGCTGGAAGGGGACTTGATGTGAGCGGGCAAGGACAGGCTGGAGGATGGCCTGGTGAGGTCCGCCACAAGCAGCCTGGCGCACACAGGCGCATCCAGGTATGCCTGGGAGGGATGTGTGCAACGGGGAATGAAGCCCCTGTATGTGTGTGAGACAGGGATGTCTTGGCCCTGCGGGGTAACTCGTCTCAAGGCTTCTGTAAGTGAGCTCTCTAGTGCAGTTGAGATTAGGTTTACTGTACGAGAATTTGCCTGTATATACATGGCCTTTCAGAACATGCATCAGCTGAATAATGGTACCTCTGTGGGACTGTGGTCTTGGGGGAAATGGAAAGAAATTGGAAACGATGAATTAGAACCCTTGTGGTGTGTCTTGTACCCACAGAGGGTGGTGAGCGCTTGAGTGTGTGTTTATGCAGATAAAAACACTCACTATGTTCCGAGTCTGTAAGGCCTTAGGAAGCAGGCTTATTAGTACTGTAGTGGGGGGCCAAGGAAAAGTGAATATGTATTCCAGGCACAGAGTGGGTGATTCTAAGCACTTGGACAGCGGCTCAAGCACTGACAAGGGCGTTCATTCCATGAAATGGGGTGACGGTGTCATGGGATGTGTCTGCTGGTTTCTGGTTGCACATTCTTTTTCTTTTCAGACAGCATGGAGTCTTTAAGTACCTCTGAGCACCTAGCATTGTTGTGTGCTGCGATGTAGCATACAAGTTACAATTCCCTCCTGCAGGGCGGTGGTGGGGGGCACAATACAGTCTAGTGGCAAGACCTAGGTGCACGCAGCAGCTGTTTATTATACCTTTTTGACAGATGAGACTGAAACTCAGACCCTCAGAGCTGTAAGTTTCACATTCTTTATGCTGTACCATAACTGCCTTTCGAACGTGTCAGAACCGGAGTTATGGCCATCTCCCTTCCTTCCCCAGGCTCCACCCAGGGCTGGTTCCTGATGCTCTGCCTGCACTGAGAAGCATCAGTCTCCCTGCTCTGGCCCCTGAGAAAAGAGTGATGTGAAACCAAGAATTTTAAGTTAAATTTCCCAGAGTAAGCACCAGGACTGGATCTCATGAGCTAAAAAGCAGTTCTCGATCCATAACCATCCCATCTCTGTGCTCTGTATGGATAGCTATGTGAAGACTGCCTAATGCAGCTCATTTAGATAGTGAGCTTTCCGTCTTTTTTTTTTGAGTTGGAGTCTCACTCTATCACCCAGACTGGAGTGCAGTGGCATGCTCCCGGCCACCACAGCCTCAACCTGCTGGGCT